ATTTAAAAAAAAATCTTCAGAGAGGATTTAATTATTAACTTCCAACTAAGTGCCACAGATGCTGTATTTTCCCCAGTTCTATGTTCTTCTGAAGATAATAAATGTCAATATGCTTATAAATTAAAAATACTCTATTTATGAAAACCATGAGATATGTTTTTGGTTTACCTGAAATCATATCTCAGGTGCTTTTTGGAACAGTCTTATAAAATCACCATGGCACAGCAGGGTACTGAATGCATGGATAACGTTGTTTCACCAAACAGAAGGAAATGTGTGCCACTGCTTTCACTGATGCCCAGTCTCAGTGCTAACACAAATGAGGCACATTTGCCCTTATTCTTCCTCAGCCCTTTCAAAGGTATTGAAATGTTCAGTAGAACTGTGAATTCGAAAAAATTTGTGTTATTTCCTTTCACAGGACTCTTCAAGGTAAGAGGTAGAAGGAAGAATACACACGTGGTAGTACTGTGACTGCCTTCCCTTAAATTGGCAAAAACATACCACAGTAAGCTTTCCTTTGAAAGCGTTTTAACTAATGTTTTCCCTTGATACTAATGATACTTGTGACACTAATTTCACTGTGTCGAAATGTTCTGAAACTGACAGTGTCCCCAGTACCATTTTTTCATGGCTTTTTCTAGGGAGCTCTTGGATCTTTCGAATATTCTCTTTAACAGTCAAATCATCAATACAAAAATGCAACTGATTTGACATATTACAAATAGAATTTAGCAACCAAAGATCTTCAAAAGTGGAGAAGCTCATCAAAAGCAGTGGCTACAGTTTTGGCTTCCAACAATGCTGCTATTTTACTGACCAGCTTGCTTGAACCATAGAACTACAATCATAAATCATATTGATGACTCTGAATACACACTTCACTAAATTAAGGTATTCAATAAAATATGCAGCTGTGGCTGCTGCTTTTCCAATGAACACCTTTTGTCCTTGAAAACTAGGATTACTTTAGTGGGGTGGGAAGACCAAGGGGAGCAGAGGATATTGGTGTAGTGGGTAGTACCAGTCAGGGGTAAAAACAGGATGCAAGAGAAATTTAACATCATCACTGGATAATTTTTATGTGTGACATAAGGAAATTAAAAAAGACAAAACCAAAAATCGTAGCAACAAACCTCCCTGTTGTCTTAACACTAGTTGGTTTTGTAACAGCCAAAACCATACCTCCATATGGAGCACATGAGAAATGTGTAACAGTAATCTTTTTTCTGCCAGATGGATACACACCTCAAACACACCCACAAATACTAATGAAAACCACCTTGGCCTCCTTCAGGAAGTCATTCAACACTTCACAGAAAAAATAGGAAGTTGTTGATAAACTGCTTGCAAGAACTACTTCCTGTAGGAAAAATAATTACAAGACTTGTTTGCTGGACAATCAGTTAACTTTTCCTCACACTACAACAACAGAAGAAGTATTACACAAGCTCTGTAAGAATTAAAAGAATAACTCTAATTTAAAATGATCCAAGAGTAAACTAAAACTGAGCGAAATTTGTTTATTCTTTCTGCAAGCTGCTGTCTGCTGTTCCCATTGCACATTATCTTTTGCCTCGAGAGCGATTCCCTATCTTTCTGCACAGTTCACCGAAATGTCAAGCAGCAGCTGGCTAACAGGAAGTGGTTAAAAAGCAATGCAATTGACATCACCACACAAACCAAGCTCGGCTTCTTTACTGTATGTTTAAGAATGGGCTACATCAGTGAGAGATGACTCAGATGTGACCACTTACTAACCAGCAAGTCTTAACTTATGAGCTCCACTGAAGGAGCAGTATCACTAAAAAATAGTTTTACCAGCTGTACAGTTAGCAGGCCTTAACCCACTGCTCAAAATCATCACTAAGGGAAAATGAAACTCAGCATTACTACCCATAACAGTGAGATGAATGCTAGTAAGTGGAATTCTGGCAAATCATATGTTGGGCATTCATACATAAGGGGGTCTATTTATCCAGATGATAGTCTAATTTACAAGAGTAGTTCTGGTTCAAACCCTATAGTACTGCCCTCACCTTCTTTTAATGTGCATGGCTACATGGGGTGTATATATAAAATATCTGGCCAAACAACTCTGTGCATCTATCTCTATAAATACACACACACACAGATGATTAAGTATTTTCTCTCCCATATATTTTCATTTCTTTGCACAAATTACTGTGCTTGCAGTGCTTGATCCACTGATTAGTGGAAGTGACTGTAATTCCAGAGTGTATTAAGTATGGTACTCAATTTTGTATTATTCTCTTTGTACTGTAGCATATTATGATAACTATAACCATAGGGCTTACCGACATCTGGAAAGAATCTGATATTGTTACCTATTCTGTAAATATGTTTCTAGAGCCTGATTACCATACTGTTCATGGAGCAAGTGGAAACAAGGAGTGATGCAGCCAATGAAGAAAAAAAGCTGAATACTTGAAGAGACACTAAAAATCTGCATATGGTAGAAGGAATCACATTAAAGGTGATTTAGAATCAGAAATCTTAGTACACAGATTTCAAGCAAATGTTTAAGGTCTAACCAGGCAAGATGAGAGCTTTAGCAGGCTTGTAGGTGTGAACTAGAACTTACCACTCATCACTGAAAAAAACCTTTAGTATAAAACTTGCTACTCAAAACTAGCCTTAAATTTCTTTGGGCTTGCTGTACATACAGAGCAAACGTTGTGCTAGTACTTTAAAAGCTTTTTACAAATCTCAAAAAACTCCAATGAAGTTGGTGGATCTTACCTGCATATAGTATTAAGCAACCTTTTATGAACAAATGTTCTTCAAGTGTGAACAGAGCTGTCCTCATTAGACTCTCCCATACCAAAGTATCACCCAAGGAAAGCCAAAAGGAAACAGCCCATTACACTGTTTAAAATCTCCCGAGGTCAGCATGTGACCCAGCAGGGAGAGGTTCAAAAAGCACAGCCTTTATTTTTTTTCCTAACAACCTGGTTTGTTTCCACTCCTTTCCCCTTCAAGACACATCCTTCACAGCTAGCAGCTCTTTCAATCATTTACTTTGGATGTCTGCTTGAGAACAAATGATCTTGCTCATGCAGATGAGTTTGCCAGACTTGTGTGTACTTTCCAGTCTCAGGCTCTTTATTGTTCTTGCTGAAACCTGACCCTTTGAAATGGATACCAGGACACCAAGAAAGGACCAAAAAACTTGCAAAAGAAAAAGGAAAGATTTTTGTGGTAATAATCAAACTGCAGAAAAAGCTTTCCAAGAATAAATCTTTCAGTCTAATTTTACCTGAATGAGCACAATTTAAAAAATTCCTTAGAAGAGCAGGAAGACATATTTTGTCTTGTAAACTCTTTCATCTTCTGTAAAATTGACAGTGCTATCAAGAACAAACACTTGTGGCAGTAAAACTTTAAAATCAAATATCTATTTTTCACGCTTCATAAGGTGCTCTTTAAGAGCTCTCACTAACACAGTCAAAACAAAAGTTTGCTTTTCATTTCAAAACTCATTCTGTTCTTTTCTCAAGGTTCAATGAGCTACACTTCTCAAATGGCATAAATTACACAGTTCAAAATAACCTTCTACTTGTCCCTGCTGAAGAGCTCATATTCTAGAGCACACTGATCTGTTAAACTTCACCAAAGAAAATATCACATCTTCAAGATCTATAACTAATGCTTATTTTCACATTTCTAATAGAGAATTATTGTTTTCAAAAGGGAACCTCCAGGCTCAGAAAATTTCAGACAACTACTGCACCCTCTTTTTGGTTGAAAAAGAAAAGGCTAACTTCTCTTTATGGAAATACCACAGCTGCAGGAACAAGAAATATTTTTAAGAAGTTCTGCAAGGTCAATTTTCATTGCAGACAATGTAAATTTGTTATTTTTGAAGCTACAAGCTCAACTGTTTTAATCAGATGCAGGTATTAATCACAGTGTTTGAGAGGGAAAGGTAGTAATAAATACATTTTTCTGGTCTGAAACAAGTTTGCCATAAGTAATACTGTGTTACCTCTTGCCACCCTGCAAATGACATATAATGGGTTATTTAGAGACTTGCTGTTAAATAAAAAGTTCAAAGTATAGTCAAAGTATTTGAGGGCAAGTTATGGTCTTGGTGGGCACATTTTCAGAATGAAGGACAAGTCCCTGCAGTTTTCCAAAACTGCACAGAATAAAAGAAAGTCATTCCTGATGGACTGGGTGTCAAATGGATGGCACGTCTAACTTTCTTCAGCTATGGAAAAGGTGATACTAATTCCAATCTGTGGAAAAGTTACAGCTCTAGGAACATGAAACAATATTAGAAATTCTGAAATTTCCTCTTCATTGCCAGGAATGTAGATGAGTTAATATACAAACACAAATACAGTAATCAAACATTACTGATATTTGTGTTTGTATATTATATATATGTTATTATATATAATGTTATGTTATTATATATACTGATATATACTGATTACAAGATATGTTAATTACCTCAGGAAGACAGAGTAGGCAAAAAACATTTTGGTTGTGTATTTAAACAATTGTCTTTAATCAAAATATTAGAAATCCTGACATACTGTCACTGCAATACTCTCTAAAGTTAACTCTGTATTTTTACATCTGTATTATTAAAATGAGGTAAAATGTATCTTGATCTGCATGACAACTCTGACAATATTCAGCAAATCCAAAAGTCTCATTGTTCAAGAATGACTACGCTAATTTCACTGATTTTTTTAGTACACAATATAAGGGATAACATTCTTTAGATAAGATTAAGATAGGACAAATATTCATAGAGTACCATACAGCTTTCAGAAACAGCAGAATTGATATGTGAGAAATACTGAAGTGGTAGGGTTCCCTACTTAAAATCACAAGCATGTCTTTAAAAATACATATTCTAAACACAATGAAATTTACTGACATTCTAAGATGGTAAAAACGTATATATCCCAACAACAAAAAAAAAGAGCCAGAGATACAGCTAATTGAAAAGAAATTTTACTTACTTAAGAAAGTATCTCTGTCCAGATGGTGTCTTAGCCATCTCCCAACCCGGTGGCAAAGGTACATCATCAGGGATCTCAAAAGAAGACTGGCGGAGGTGTTGAGAAGATGGAGCTCCAGGCCCAGTCACTACTCCAGAGGGTGTAAGCGTCCCTGGAGAAACAGCTCCCAGCTGCAGTGATGCTGGAGAGGAATGAGCTCGGACATGCTGTGGGGTCAGGGCTCCTGCTGTCCCGGCATCAGTGCTGGCCTGCCAGGAGTGAAATTATTTTTATTAAGATTCCTATATTTCAGTAGAAGTGCAGCTGTCAGAAGACATTTCACTTTAAATGAATGTTTCAGGAGAGATTCACAGCTCAGGTTGTTTTAAAGTTCTGCTTGTTTGCCAGTTGTAACTGTTCAAGCAAGCCTCCATGTAGTTTGGTTAAAAACCCCTGTGCAAGTCAAGAATTAAGTGTATGTATTGAGAGCCCTGAGTTTTATTTTGAAACTCAAGTTCTTTCTCCTCAGCACAGGGTTAAGAACAAACCTGCCTGCAGTCAGCAGATCTCATCCAGTGCACTGAATGGTTTGTGACTGGACTGCACCCACTCCCTACCATCACACCCACTTTCTGCTGGAGGAGTTAATTTCCCACTCTCCTTTGCAAGTGGGGGTGTGGGGATTCAAGTAGATGCACACACCACACACCATCCACCCCCAGACCGTAGGGGTTTAAAAGATCACACAAAGAGAAAAGCAATAGTGAAATGCCAACTGGCAGCAGCCAGTTCCAATGGAGGAAGACTCATTAATTCAACCATTAAAAAAACCTAAACAAGAAGACTGAACATAACATTTCCTAATAACTCGAGCTTTTGAGGGTATAAAGAGTCTGTCCACGCTTTATCCAAAGCAAAGCTTCAGCAAACAGCTGAACCAGTCAACCAGAAATGACTCACAAACCCATCCACCGGAGTCACCACTCATAAGTACACAGAAAGTCCTTGCCAGTACTAAATACACATCCAACATGGAAAAGGCAGCTCTGAAAACCTGGTTAAAGTAAAATTGGCTTTAAAAAATATATTTACCAATTAACTGGTTTCATAGACAGACCAGAACAACACTGACACCTACAATGAGATGCAGGTATCAGTCCCTGTCACACCTCTCTACACAAGGTATTACACCATCAGAGGCCCCACTTACACACTCTTACAGTTCTGCTTCACTTCATCTGTACGCAACCACACATGAAGTTCTATGTGTGCAACTGGAAACAAATCAGTTTGCACTTACATCCAGACAAAAGAGTGGATTTGCAATATTTAAATTCCTGGGAATCACAGATTTATAGAAAAGAGAGACCTTTCCTTTAAGCTGAATGTTTATGTGGCACAATTAAACAGAAAGGAAAAAATGAAAACAATCCACAATGAAGCAAATTATTCTCTCTTGCTTTAGCTGGATTTCAAGTTAATGTTTTAGGAACCACTGAGTGGTACAAGGAACAGTGATCCAACTAAATATGCTTTACAGACCAGACTAACATACACAAGAAATATAAAGCTAAGCCTAAAAGTACAACCAAAAGTTGTACTTTTAGTGCATTTCAATGCACTAAATGCACTTTTAGTGCATTTCAAACACGACAGCTATTTAACTGCAGTTACTGTATTTAACAAGACATAGTGTTAGAATGTCTACCCAATGTCTACACAATGGAACCGCAATGAGATTTGCACAAGCTGGGAGAACACTATACATAAACCCCTTATTCCTTGCTGGATTTCAGTATGTTATTAAACGTCTGCAACTCAGAAGCTAGCAAAACTACAGAAGCAGATCAACTCCACCCCTTCCAATTTTCTTTTCAGTATTCCTATATGAAGGCCAGACTGCTTTTTTGAGTATTTGGAAAATGAATTAACTCCTAGGCTGGGAGAGTACGTGCCAAGGTTCAGCCTGGAACGAACTTCTGAAGTCAAGTTATAAATCGTTCAAAACAGAAGTTTAATAATGGAAATGTTGACAAGCCCTTAACAACACGGCACCAGTACGCAGCGAGTTTCACCCTCACTGGCTACACAGACAAAGTGACAATAACCAATAATAAAACTAATTTTATAGCTTAGCAACTAAGTTCATTACTTAATAACACTTGACTAGATATGCACGGTCTCCATCCAAAACGTTGGTTAACAGCAGTAGCTTCCCCTCGTATTCACACCAGCATTTAGGTCTCGGTACAAAAGTCCCTCTGCTTAAACACCCAAAGCTCCCGGAGGCCGAGCGCCGACCCTGCCCCGCATTCCCCACCCCGTTCCTGCTCGGCCCTGCCCCCGCATCGCCCCTTCCCCCCGGCGCTGCCCCGCCCCTTCCCAGCCCTGCCCCGCATCCCTCCCCCGCTCCCTGCGCGGCCCTGCCCGCATCGCTCCCTCCCCCGGCCCGGCCCGGCCGAGGGAGGCCCCACGGCTCCGAGCCCCGCTCGCAGGCTGCCGCCGCTGCCCGGGATGCGGCGCTGCGCCCGGCGGACCCTGGACGCCGTCGGACCTGGCGTCTGGCTCGGGCATTAACTTCGGATGTGCGTGCCTGTGTATGTGGGGGGGTTAGTCCTACTCAACCCAGCGCCGTGCTGAAATGGTGGAAAAGTCACATCCATATTTACTGTCTGACGGGGCGAGGGGGTGTAGGTTTGGCACCACTTCATCGACCCCTTCCATAGAGGGCAGGGTATTGGACCGCAAAGCGACATTCAAAGCGAAGCGTTTTCACCAAAGTTTTAGGGTCTCACCCCCACTGTCGCCCTCCCGGTGAGGCCGAGATAGCCAAGGAGCGGATGTGGAGTTCGAGGCCCCGCTGGAGACCGGGACGGGGCCAGCGCTCGCTCGCCCTCCGGCCGCGGCCTCGGCCCTAGCGGTGTCTCGGGACGCGGAAGGCGGCCCGACCCCAGGGGAAGAACAAATAAAGGGGTGTGGGGGCGGCAGAGAGCGCCCCGACAGCCCCGGCCGGGCGCCCCCCGCCCGCTCGGCCCCGTGGATTCCCGCCCCGGCCCCCTCCCCCACACGCCTCCCCCGGGAGGAGCTCTGCGGCGGGGAGGGGGAGCACAGCACGGCCCGGCCGGGCCGCCCCCCGCCCGCCCGCGGCGCGGGCCCCTGCCTTCCCTCCCCCTCACCTGGCGGGAGTGGGCCTTGGGCTCGGGCGGCTTGAAGAAGGAGTCGGGCAGTTTCCGCAGTCGCATGGGCAGCGTGTGTGGCACGTTGGCGCCTTTGGGGTTCATCACTGCGTTGAACAGCGCCTCCAAGTCGGTCTCCGAGTCGCCCCGCACATGGACGATCTGGTGCCCCGCCGGAGGGGGCCCCGCACCCGGGGGCTGCGCCGCGCCGGCCGGGGCCCCCGTCACCGGGCCAGGGGGCTGCGGCGGCGGCTGCTGCTGCTGCGAGGCCGGGGGCTGCGCTGCCTGCGGCGGCTGCTGCGTTTGAGGCTGCCCAGGATCCATGGCTCCGTCGGGACCCCCCGGCGCTTCCCTGGCGGGGCTCGGCGGCTCAGAGCCCGGATTCCCAGTCCCGCATGCCCCGCTCCCCGGGCCGCGGGCTCGTCCTGCTGTCGCCGGTGCCTCTCACCCCTCGGTCGGGAAGCCGACCCGCCCGCGGCAACTGGCAAAACAACTCTGGCCGTGCGGCGCTTCCCCGAGCCCGGCCCAGCCCGGCCGGCGCCTCTGTCCCGGCGGCGGAAACTAACTCACACAACACACCAAACAAAAGTTCGCAGTTACGCCCGCCCGAATCACTCTCCGCCGCCGGCTCCGCCCCTCCTGAGCCCGCCCGCACCGTATCCGAGCGAGGCAGCCCGTGCTCGCAGCGCTCCTGCGCGCGCCCGCCCGCACCGCCTCCCGCCCGGGGCGCTGCGCGGCCCCCCGGACTCCGCTCCGCCCGCGGGTCCGGCCCGGCCCGCACCGCCCCCCGCCCCGCTCCGCTCCGCGCCCGCCCGCGCCTCTCCCGCCCGCCGCAGCCAACCACAACTTTTTTTTCTCCCTAACTTCTATCCCAACTTCCAGGAGGCCGCTCCGCGAGGGGGTGGGGAGGGGCGGCCGCGCTTCCCTGGCCCCGGCCCGGAGGGGGCATGGGCCCGGGACCCCTCCCGCCCGTCCCCTCCCGCGCTTTCTCCCGGTTCCGCAGAGCTTTCACCGACTGCAGAGCCTCCCCTGCAGTTACGCGTCGCGGGTCTGTAAAGCTGGCTCATAAAAATGACGAGACTGCTAGAGAAATACTTTTTATTAGATAAAACGGGTGAGGGAATGGGGGAAAAGGCCAAGAAAACAGCTTCAAGAACTATAAAAACCGGAAAACTTTTGTCACTAACCACATAGTAACATCTGAGTGAATGGGAAGCACTTCCGAGCACGTCATCAGGGAGCAGAACTTTCCTCGCCAGAAAACTATGCAATGTATACCTGAACCCAACAGAAAGAAGGCAACCTCCATTATAAAACTGGGGACCAGACGGGTTTATAACTAGTTTGTAAACAGGCTTCCACCAAAACAGTGATACAGAATATTCACGTGTCGCTTGCAGGGATCCACAATCAAGTAGGCAAAAGTCTGTTGGTGGCTTTTGCTTGAAGGGTAACACAGGCCATTAGCATCCTGAAAGGAAGAAAAAAACCAAAACAGTATTAGGGACAATAGGGGTATCTGTAAAAGAATTAATAAAATCTGAAGCTAATAATTTTGTTCCAGTTGTAACTGTTCATTGCACAGCAAAACAGAACAAATACACTGCAGTTTATTGACATGGTATATGTCCCTATAAGGATCCCAACACTACAAAATGCACAGTAATTCTGGCTGGATGTATCAAATAATCTTGAGGTAAATGTAATATTAATATAAAATGTAAAATTAAACATGTAATCATGTGTTTACACAATTAGAGCCTAAAATACAAATGATTAAATATACAACAGCCCATCATGTTTCCTTTGAAAGAGAAAAAATAATCACTTACTCTATATTAATACATAAAGCTGTTCCATCCATAATTTTTTTTTCACTTAACATTTGCTAATGCATCTGTTCAAGTTGCAATATTTGCATTTAAGCAAAATGCTTATTACAGATCACATTAAGAACTTTGGATTATTATTGGAAACATTTTGTGTGCCACTCCTCAGAAAGGGTTTGAAGGGATTCTGGACACCTAGCTGCAAAATCCTGGTTCTGAAAGAAATACATTAAGCTGACAATCAGCAGGGGAACTGGGCTCTTCACGTTAACATCCCACGTCTGCACATGTCAATAAAAGCTTCAGTGTTGACAGAGCAGCACAGCTGGACACACTTCAAATCCAGTAGGGATCCAGAAACTAGATGGAGAGCTTTTTAAAGCATTGGGTTTTTTAATTTAGTTGGGTTTTTTAATTTAGTCAGCGTGGTAATTGAACACGTGAAAGACCAATAAATACATAGCTGACACTTCCTTTCTTTTAAAACATGTAACAGTTTCCTCCTGCTCCCCAACACCTTTGTACAACAGTTGAAGAGATGTGGGTTCTGTTACACTTTTCCTGCTTGAGGAAAATTGCTACATTGCACATCTTCATTTTCTCCAGGAAAATTTTAAACTCACAGACTACAGACTATTCCGGATTTCACATCTCTTGCATTCTTCTGTTGAAGCTGTCTTCCTTTGCATAAAATAATCTGTCTTTTTTTTTGGACCAAGGAAACATGAAAACTGTAACTCAGTGGTTAAGTCAGTCAGCTGAGAAGGAAAAGAGCTGGGTCCCCATTTCTGCACCAAGGACCATTTGTGAATATTATTCTTTAGCTTTTACTGGCACCCCATTTTCTCCTGCTGTTTTGAAGAGAATGAATCCATTATTAGATGTTCTAATGTCTTCCTTTGAGGGATTATTCAAACCTCTAAATCTTAAATTAAGCTAAGCACCTCATAAAAATACTGTTTTAGACAGGTAGAGATTTGATAATGTTTATTCCCAGAATTTTCCAATGGCAGTCAAATGCCACAAGCTAGAAATAGCATTCTATTTTTAAGCAGCATGGCATACAAGCTCTGTGGCTCCAATTGTAGGATACCTAGCTTTCTTCAGGTGTTTTCTAAGGATACACGTGTAACAAACACTGAATTCTCAACTGCAGTAAGGAGAGCAAATTTTAAGATTTTATAGTGCTCAGCATCAAAAGGCCTTTGGAATTTGATCCAAAAATAACCTAAGCTCATGCATGTAACTGAAGAAAAAAAAGTAACAGACAAGATCAACATCAAGATGTGATTGGTAGTTAAACTCTTTTCCCATTGCTACCAAGGATCCCACTCCTGCGGTCTGTGTGGAATTGATGGATGGCAGTTGAGGTTTTGACTATTTAGATGCAGTGTAAGCCCACTAAAAATTTGTTCAAAAACTCAAGAACAAAAACAATATAAGTTCTGGCAATGAGGCATTTCAAGCAATATACCTAACTTGGTATCAGGAAAATATTCAAGAAAAGGTTCTTAATTTTAGTCAGCAAAAGAGGTCATAAAACCCCTAAAATGCTTGAGCACAAAGGCTCTGATATTTACATTCATGCATGTACACAAGTTAAGAATCACACCCATTCCATCTGCAGTGGACTTTGGTTCACACATACAGGGGGTGTAATGATTGATTTACTGATGTTAGAGTAGGATAATTTTATTTTTTCTTTGTAGCAACACAGCTGATGATTTAAGAATACATATGCATAGCATAAAACAGAAATAAAAATCCTGCTGAACATTTTCAAAACTGCATAATGTAATTGACAATTTTTAAAAATACTTATTGAATAAACTTTGCATTATTCTGATTTCTAAAACTGCCACAGTTTGGGTTCAGGTAAAGAAAGTTCTAAAATAACAGTGAACACTCCAATACTTAAGCTGTAAAAGTATTTCATGATATGCAAAGCTCCAAAGCTGTCAAGGGTATGTGGAGTTCAAGAGAGTACTTTGTCACAAGATCTAAAATTATTTATCTTGTGATGCCCAGGTCTATCAGGTTTTGACGCTCAATAGCTCTACAGACATTTGTAAGAAAGATCTCAACAAATTAGAGGGTTGGACAATCACCAACCATATGGAGTTCAACAAAGTGCCAGATTCTGCACTGGGATGGGGCAGCCCTGGATGTACAGACAGACTGAGGAATGAGATGCTGCAGAGAGGGACCTGGGGGTCCTGGTCTGTGCCAAGTTGTTCATGAGCCAGCGGTGCCCTGGCAGCCAGGAGGGCCAACCCTGTGCTGGGGGCATCAGGCACAGCATGGCCAGCTGGGCAAGGGAGGGGATTGTCCTGCTCTGCTCTGCTCTGGGGCAGCCTCACCTCCAGTGCTGGGGGCAGTTCTGGGTGCCACAATATAAAAAAAGACATTAAACTATGGGAGAGGGTCCAAAGGAGGGCAATGATGATGGTGAAGGGTCTTAAGGGGAAACCGTATGAAGAGTGGCTGAGGTCACTCGCTCTCTTCAGCCTGGAGGAGACTGAGGGGAGACCTCACTGCAGTCTGCAGCTTCCTTGTGAGGGAAAGAGGAGGGGGAGGCACTGATCTGTGCTCTGTGGTGACCAGGGACAGGACCTGAGGCAACAGCACGAAGCTGACTCAGGAGAGGTTGAGGTTAGACAGCAGGAAAAGGTTCTTCACCCAGAGGGTGTTTGGGCACTGAACAGGCTCCCCAGGGACGTGGTCACAGCACCAGCCTGACAGAGGTCAAGAAGCGTTTGGACAACACCCTCAGGGACATGGTGTGACTGCTGGGGGTGGTGTTTACAGGGCCAGGAGTTGGACTTGAGCAACCTTGTGGGTCCCATGTAACTCAGCATATTCTGTGATTGTGTGACTATAACTTAAAACTTTGAAATATTTACATTTCTAATAGTGTGCTTTTTCAGATACGGTTTTAAAATTGTGTTCAGCCATACAAGTCACTTTTACAAGACCAGCTTTTAAAAGTACATTTATTTTAAAAATTATTTATCTATTTACATCAGGCTAGGAGGGTATGTCCTTTCCTTCTACCTCCACTGCAGAAATGTAGTTATTCCTTAAGAGAAACTTTTCATCACAAACATAAGACATTTGTGCTCCAGTAAGTGTCCTTCCTGTACGTGCCATGTGGAGTGGAGTAGTTTTGATCCACATAACCATCAAACAGTCTAGACACACTGTTTAAGCCTTTCTGTTTTTTGAGAGAAAATTCTCCAACATGTTCTTTAATAGAAACTGTAATTTCAGAGTTCTTCTTCACCCCACAAAATTTCAGAATGTGCAGTAATGCCCAATTTTCCTCCAAGGATACAAGGAGGATAGCCTGCTCTGCATTAACACTGGATCTTCTTTTGTCCATCTATTTTGTTTACAAAATTTGCTGAAGTTTGGTTGGGGTTTTGTTTGTTTGTTGTTGTTTTCTTTGTAGTACTGATGATATTTAATATATGGCCAACACAGTTAGGGGAGCTC